ATCGTAGTGCAACTCGAATTTCAACATAAACAGTACTACCCGACAAGTTATCTGATAATAAGCTCTGTGCGTTTGTGGTGGTAACTAAAGCTAAACCCATTTGAAGCTGCGGTAGCAGACCGATATTGAGATAGAAAAGTAATCACAGTTCTAACAGTTCTGCACTGAATTCACTAAACAAATCATCTGACCGATTACTGTCAGACGAACTGTTTGGTGAGGGAAATGCCGCCTAGGCGCTAGCATGACTGTTACTGGCATCCAACGCCTCCTTCAGCCGTAGAGAGTCGAACTCCTTCAGCGCTTCACTGCATCAACCCTCGCAAAGGTTCCTCGGCACACTCCCTGATACATCGACAGCCCCTATCCCGAAAATGATGATATGTTCAATCCAATATTTTTATCGTATTATTCCAAAAACGTCACTGCCATACTTATCTGTGAAACTTCCCAGCTTGTTAGGGCGGCACCTGAGATATCTCCAGCAAAACTCCACTAGATTGAAAAAGTAGTGAAATGAAGGCCTTGAAGGGCGATCCCCACAAAAAGGAAGGCTCGCTCGGGATTGTCCTGCGCAGCCCGATGTCCATAGATGAGAGCGCGGGTGCCGCCGGATGTAATTCCACCTTCCTATAGTGCCGTAATAGCATTACCGCGCTTCAGTTTATTCGTCCAAGCAGTTTTGCCACAGGAATACTGCTGTGTTACCTCGACGGAAGGAAAACACTACAAGATGTTGTCTATCCAGCCTCTTGTCTTCAACATACACTCAAAAACCCACGTTTAACCCTTCACAAAAAATGATTTGGGAAGATCTAATCTGATCTAACCCGCTGCTCTTCAAGGATTTTGAACGAGAATCCAAGACCTTTCAATAGAATCAGTAATAACTTTGTTGACAGCGCTATACAGGATCTTCATTCAACACTTCACGGACCAGTCAACTTACACGCTTACCCCACACTGCAACACGCCTATTAATAGCGGTTATATCCGTTCTTTCCAAGCAGTCCCTGCAAATTGCTCGCGTAGTCACAGGACGAACCGGTGAGTTACTAACTCGAAAGGCAGTGTTTTCACCAATATTGCACGCCGAAGGAGTTGTCGCTATGACTGAGTTGAAAACGGTTCCACGCAAGGTGTCCCCGAGATGTTCATTCAGTTTAGCGGAGAACCACTTTACATTGGCTATGACAGCCTTCAGCTCTGGAGCGAACACACGGCGCCTCCCATGTATACCTCCTCATTCACTCATTTCACACTAAATAGCCTTCAATGCTGCATGGTATCTCCCAGATCGGTTAACAGACTGCGAACACGTTTACGCTTGTTTATCAGTAACTGAGCAACAACAGTATTGAGCCTCACAAGTTTGGCTGTTCCACTCATTCTGCCTCCTATCGAAGATGAGGTTGCCTTCTTCAAGGTCTGATGGAAACAAGAAGCTGGATGAAAATTTTGCTGCGTTTTCCCTGCCGAGGCAGTACAGCAGCATTCCTGTGGCAAAAATACTGACGAATACAAGGAAGCGCGGCATTGTTATTACGGCAATGTATGAAGATGGAATCATAGGCGGCTGGAGCCGGTTCTCGGAGCTTTGCCGAAGAAATCTCGAGTACCAAGGTAGGAAGGTTCACAGATGAATTGAAAGTAGTAACATTTCCTGGAGCAACACACAATAAAAAATATTGGATCGAACACATTATTTTTGGGATGAGGGCGACGGGAGGGGGTGCCGAGAACCTTTGCTAGTTGATGCAGTGAAGCAGTGTAAGGACAGGGCTTTGTGCGGCTGAAGGAGGCTTGGACGCCATTACGATCATGTTAATGATGAGGAGATATTCCGTCACCAAGCAAACCATCTGACGGTACTTTTCAAATGATTCGTTCAGTGCATTTAGTGTAAAACTGTGAACTGTGATTATTTTTTGTATTTTGCACTTCAAGTTAATGCTGTGCGCAATGCTATGCACAATGCTTATTTTCAGTTGGTTCTTCATGTATTATGATAGTATTTTGAAATTCGTGTTGTATTATGATTTTTGTGAATTTCTCATTACTGGCACCATTTTCCTAACTGATGCCAACTTTTTAGGAAACGCCAATAAAATATCCACAGAAAATAAGAGGAATAAGCAGACAGGAACATGTTACCAGACCAGAATGAGGTCACAAATTAGCAGCAACTAAAAAAAGTCACAGATACTACCGTCCGGTCGTTCTACAACAAAGTAAATGGATTTACAGAAGGCGTGGAAACAAACAAAAGCAGCGGACACTCATGACGACATTTGCATCACATTTCCAGAATAGCCCATGCATGATGTTTTTTAGGATCAACGGGCGTTAGCCGAATGAGCATGATCAAATTAATGCTTATACACAAGAACGATGGTTGCTTCAAAATTGATGTGATTTGTGGTGACAAACCTGAGGATCACGATAACCGCTCATGGGTAACAGAAGCGAATTGGCATAAGCCTCGAGAAGTAAGTGGATAAGGTAAACTAAAAAAATTTGAGACATAGAAAACCTCGCAGTTCATGCAAATCGTTGTTCTAGATGCGCACTCTCTCACCAGTGTGCACTGTCACGTCAAGGAAGGCGCCAATTAATATGAGCTGCTTGAGATACGTGCCAACAAAAAATATAAAAAGGGTGTTTTTTATACGAAACTTTACAAGAAAAGAAAGATGTCATTCGATGAATCAGGCATGCATTACTTTTTTTAACTAAAATCAACTTACTGTTTTGGAGCGGAGTAGTACTAGAATCTTACTTTAACAAGGCACGGAAGGACGTTTGGTGAACAACGAAATGTCAGCAAATAAGTGATAGAATCTACAGCGAAACTTGGGATCCATCTTATAAAGCCATTCAGTTGGATGCTCGTGCATCCAGGCTTGATGCTCATCTGCGCTCTCTAGTCTAAACAGCGGTTCATGACGATTGTGATCTCCCTTATTTAGGTTCAACATACTGTAATTGGCTCATCCACACCCCCTCTCCAAGGCTTAGTCTTAGGGCTCTTGCCTTCCTCTCAGTGATTTGAAGGCAAGCCAGCTCCGTTGGCCTTTCTCAATTGTGTACAGCTTAGTCATTCACGGCAGGACCATGGAGGAAGTATGTGACATCTAATTTGTATAATCCGTAGTGAAGTTTGTGGACACGTCTACCTTTCGGACATGGAGGTACAGTAAACATACCGTTTCTCTGCCAACTGTGTCAAGAGAGCGACAGCAAGTGATTGGCTTGCTTGAATCTAATTTAGGCTCAGATGAACTACAAAGAGCTAGAGAGACATAACTCGCAAGCACCATAGTACGCTTCGTTACAGAAAGAGACTTAAGGGCACTGCATAGTAGAAAAAAACTGTACAGCGGAGAAAACATCAATGTGAATGGATTCTACTGTATAATGCAGCCTAATATTGAACAATTTCAAGGCCTGGAACTTCAACAGTAAATAGGATTACATGAAAGATCAAGTGATGCTCCATTAATTGAAGGCAGCAGAAGGATGCATGCAAAAAGAATGGCACAGTAAAAAAATAAAACCTAAGGAACACAAATGATGACAATTATGCAAAACAAAAAATAGCCAGTCTTCCACAGGTGCTAACCATTGTCCTCCTACTACTAGGCGTACTAAAGGTATAACAAAATTGCTGTCGTAAGAGCTTGTGAAATAAGCAATTAGGTCACAGAACAAACAAAATAAGTTACAAAACGCGAAAAAACACCCGATTACTATCAACAATCAAATGGAAAGGCATCGCATGTAGGTAAAACACGTTTTCGTCATTGTACCATGTTACCCGTAAAATGAAGCTTGGGAGAGTGGGAAGTTACATAATTAAAATTCGGTCGGGAATACTGATGAGACCAGGAAATCCCTGTTTTTACACTAGCAAGACGACAACCACGACTCTTTAAACCCTCGAAAATTCCGAATCCAAATTCCTGCCGTCCAAATCGGCAAGACCAACTGTATGGTTAATGCGAACCACTAAAATGCTGCTCCTAAACTTTTCATGATGATTCCAGCCACATTTGGTTTAAAACATTGAAGAAGTATCATTTACAAAGGCTCAAATTCAGTCATTCAAAGAGCACTGAACCAAATAGCTCGAAGAGCTTCGTAGTCCCCTTAACAATAATCGAGGCGCTTCTTTTCTGTCAAGCCGTCATGATGGGAGTTTAGAGGATATGCGACTCCGAATGGAGAGAAGCTGCTACGGTAGAACCTCATGTTCTCACATACTATCTTGTAATCATATTTGGAGACTTATACTGTCTTGATGTACCGCAAAATACTGTCTTGATGTACCGCAAA